ACATCCTTTTGTTTTTAAAATTAATCCAACCAGCTGTTTCTAAAATTTAATTTTAGCGGAGTGTGCATTATTTCTACAACGATAAAAACAATTGTCTATTTCTATTAACATTCGTCCTTGTATGTTTCACAAATTCCTCTTGGCCATCTACAGTTTTTATCACAGAGGCGTAAATGTGGTATTGGTTTATATTCCCTTATCATATTGAGAAACCAGATATATATATTTATTTAGAGTCTGCTTTCAGTTACATTAATAATAATAATAATAATAAAGAAAAACATCCTCAGAGAAGAAGCAGGCCTCAGCAGCCTGTCCATCTTCAGCATGCACGACTTTCTCTTGCTGCATTACAGTGGCTGGCTGAAACATCTGTTTCTGCTGCTCCAAAAACTGTTTGTTTGTCTTAACAATTACGCCCTGATGTTTCTCGTTTCATTTCTCAAATCTCTTGAAAGTAATTTTCATTTTCAGGTCCTGCAAGGTCCTGAATTTTTAGAAACTCGATATCACCATCTGTTGAAAGCTGGTGTATACATCGGCCTACAGTCAGCTCACCTTTGACATTTTAAGGGAGCTTTAGTGAAGTAAGCATGTCGTCTATCTGTAACCTTCTGGAGTAACATGCTTTCATAGTGCAGCCAGTCAGCTGCAGACTGTTTGGATAAACTGTCAGAAGAGAGGGGCATGAAAGACATTGGGGAGTGGGTCCCCAGCCACAGATGTATTCATCATGCAGTGAAAGTAATGACAGTGTTAACACAGAGCTGATAAGAGGTGTTGCAAATGACAGCTTTACGTAAACAAGAGTGACATCTCTGGCTTCCGAGTTTGCTGCCGAAGCTAATTCACTTCACCCACTTCCATTGACAGCCTGTCCTCGCAATACATTTTAGGGAGAGAAAACTTGAACTCCAACTGTTAGTTTTTCAGCTAAAAGGTGCCCCTACCAATCCAGTCTTAAGGACTCTGATTCCTTCTCTGACCTGTCCGTCTTCCCAATCAGACCCTTGCTCATGGCTGTTGGGTGTTGTCAATCAGCACTCCCGGCTTCTTAAACACTGGGGTGTTTGGCATTCTGCCCAAACTGCTTTCTGTCCATCTAATGAGGCCAAAGCATCTGTCCTTGACAAATGAGAACGGAACATCTCAGAGTTAAGACCTGCATTCAAAAAACGCAGCCAGGAGTATGACTCCATTCCTGAGCAATGATGGCTATGTATCAGAAGCTCAAAACAAACCAGGTTTTCATTTGGGAATTCTCACTTAAGTTCAAATGTCAACTATGAAAAATTGAATTATCAGCTTGCTTAATCAAATAGCAAAATTGCCATAACTAACCATAACCATAAGTAATTTTTGAAGAATAACTTAATGTCTTAATTCAAGTTGTCAAAGCATTGTCAAGATGATGGAATTTTAAGGAGGCTGCCTAAATTTATATTTATTTCTACTTTTTGTTTTATGACCCTCAAAACATTTCTCTCTGCCAAAGGTTGATTTTTTTCTAAGTGATAATATGACGGCTCACAGCACAAAACCAAATAAACAACCCCACCACGCTTTGATTTAGGTTTCAAATTCACTTCCATTCGCAAACGGCCTGGGATGAGGTTTGCCTGGCCTCAAATCTCCATGGCCTAGAAAGCAGGAAAATGTGGGAGGTGCCCAAAATACACTTTAGTCACCCATTTGGACACACCCTCTCCCACCACACTCACCTCAAATAGACATTGGCTTTCACTGATCCTCATCTAGACGCAAGGCTGCAAGCAATACATCCATTGACTAGTAGTGTTATTCATCCAATACGTACGGCTGGTAGAGGAGTGGCTTCCTTAAATGACAAGACAACTTGTGAAAAACCTTTCAATTTTGTTGACAGCTAATGACCTGTCAATCAAAACAAAAATCAACCAATTGCATAAAAACTAAGTTCTTGGTTTTACCTTCACTCAACAATCATTTGTCATTGCAAGACCATGTGTGGTTGCGTGACTGCAAAAAATACCGCACTAGAAAAAAAGAAAATCAAGAGAGCTATTATGAGAGCAGGAGCTGGTATCATTACACATGCTTACATTTAAATTGCCCACTTAACATAGTTCCTTCTACAGCAACATGTGTTTATCATTAGGCAGCAACCTAATGGCTCAAACATTATTCAAACTCATTTAATGGTGTAGTTGTGCTTTGTGAGGGTCCCGTCTGATAAGAGCCATGGCACTAATGATTTATTAATTTCCCTCCGAGTTACAAAAACCAAGTCAGAAAAAAAGATTCCAAGTCTCTGTTGTTGTCAGATTTAATCCCACCACCCGTACATCATGGCCACATGTAAAACCCAATAGTCCACAGGTAGGGTCATTTACATTAAAATACTGCACAGGTCTGTGTGTTAAACTTAAAACACAGCTGACTTAACCATGTAGGTACTGTGCTGTATTTATTCATTTATCTGAATAGTATTTTTTTGAGTCAAATCAACAAGTGGCAACCCCAGGATTATCATACTAATTACCAAAGCAAATGGATAATTTCTCTTCTTCTCTGGGGCCAGTAATGGTGCGTCAAACAGTGGTTATGTGTACCACAAAGTACGTGTTAAAAATATTTTTTATGACCGGTTAAGAAACAAATTTCTCCAGGGGCATTGTGAATACTTTCCACATCAATACTATCACACTGACGACTATTTGATTCTTTTCAAGGCTCAATTAGAGTTACTTTTTATTATTTGTAACAAATTTTAGTGTTTACTTTTTTAGCTTTATGCATGTTGTACTATATTTTGATAGCATAGACATAAGGAATGTCTTGGTAAACATCAAAGGTATTTCTTTGTATTTGCATGACAAATACTCAAAAGACACCAATATACAAACGTTGTCTTGTATCTTACAGTATCAGAGTTTTAGTAATGTAGAAAATGTTACTGCTACTTAAACCTAATGTACATGAAAAATGAATATGCAAAAATAATTTAGGGCTGATGGTACAGAACAATAATTTGTTAAAATCTAGGCAGATGAGAGGACGCCACAGGAGGAATTAGGACTAAATAAAATAAGATGTTGGAAGGTAGGAAACTGCTTATATTTTATTCAATTTGTTCTGAAACTTATTAAAGGCAGAGTGTTTATATCCATTTCTTCAGCATCCAGTATTAAACATAAAGAGATGAAATGCCTCTCTGCCCTCATCAAAACAGTTCACCAAATATTGAGAAGACAGCTCCAATGCCATCGGAAGTGTCCTCTTGTCCCCCATGGACACAACAATGTGTAAGCAACTGTTTGAACTTGAAAGCGTTTTATCTGAGAGCAGCCATGTGTGTCCCACTCACTGGATGTCATGCATTTGAGAGGGACCCAGGACTTTGTTCTCGACAACTTTTAAGTGTTCGGATTTCTGAGAGTCACCCCTATGTAACAAAAGTCTCCATGAGCGCCCTGTTGATAGGGGTGAACAACCGAGGGAGGAAATTACATGAGAGGAAGAAAAAAAGGGTGAACTTTTACACTTTCATTCTGTTGATTTCCGATTGCAGATGCACTTTTAAAAACCCATTATCGGAGACACAATGGCGCCTCAAAGTGTACTAAAATAAGACCAAGTCGTTGGTCTGCATAAATAAACTGATTGGGAACAGTTATTGTTCAACACAAGTACTAAAAAACACATTTTTATGTCTTGCTTTTTTTTAAACTGTGTGAAGATGAACATTGTGACTTTTAGTTGCCAACAGTATCAAATAAATCACACCAACTTCCCAGACCCTATCACCACTTAATTGTTGTTAAATTATTGGAGAACTGGAACAGAAATGAATGCCAGATTATAATTTAAAAAATCATATTTTCAGGGACACTTTCGCTAAGGTGCACACGTGTATTATTTGTGCCATCACTACAATGCTAACATAAATATTTTACTAAACACATTTTTAGGTAGTCCTAGTGTAAGTAGTTAGTCCTAAATTAAATGAAAAGCATGCTCTCTGTGTGTCAACAAAGATACCTTCACTCAGGTGCAGTCACATCCGTTTGCTTTGCTCAAGGAGATTTGTGCAGCGGCTAGATTTTACATCAATATTAACATGGATTTTACCAAACCCACTTTTATGACATCCCCTAGAGGATTGATCTAAAACAATAAAGGCTCTCTGTCTTTGCCCAGGGAGGGGGGAGAGGGGGGAGAAAAAAAATCAAATATTAGTCTAAGCCACCATGTTTCTGCAGAGTGGTGAATGTGGCAGCACGTTGGCTTCTAAACTGGGACACAAAACAAAAACAAAAGTACAACTTTGGAACAAAGTCATGTTTCACACACATTCTGGACCATCTTCCCATTTTTATGACTAGGAAACCAGGATGGCAACCATGGGATATGTTCTTTAAAAAGAAAGTTCTTTCATGTTTCAAAGCAGAAAAGCTGCCCTCAGGCATCTGCCTCCAAATGGGACGTGAAGTTTGCCAAACAAATACTACACCTTTTTTCAGCGGCGTCAAAGAGAAAGAAGAGAGGTACGGATTTAGGAATTCTTTAATGGTTTCCTTGTATTCCAAGGAAACATTTTAAAGCAATACTTTATACGCGTGCTGCTGTCGGAGTAAGAGACAGCAAAGTTATTCAAACCAAACGTTACCATTACCCAGAGACTAATATGAAAAGTTTGTAATTATGCTAAAAAGAAAACAAGTTTCAAAGTCATACGGTACAAATATACTGATAATATCTTTCTTAATACAGGGGCGCCACAGTGTAGCAGTCTTCCAGACAGACAGCGTCTCCACTTCACTTTTACTCAACAAAGTGGAGAAAACACGGAGAAGTTTGGATGAAACTCACAATAACTCGGTCTTTAAAGGAAACTGATATGTAGTGTGCAAATTTGTGTTACAATGCTTAGGTTCCACACAAACACACCGAAGCTTTCCCCGGAACCCCGGCCCAGATCTGCGACCGGGGCTCCTCTCTCTCACGGCCGCCCTGCTTACCTCTCGTACGGGAGCGCAAAAGCTGCGAGCCGTCCGGTGAATCAGCAGCAAGACGCATTCTTCTGATGACAAATCCGCACCGGGCCCTCCATTAGACACGGGCAAAAAGTGTAAGACAACGGCCGGGACATGAAACCAGGAGTCGGAGACAGAAGGAGGAAGGGGATGACATGAAACCAGGAGTCGGAGACAGAAGCGGAGAGTGAACGAGGAGGGGGATAAAGAGTGTTTTCAGAGCCGCGGAGCAGCGCCTGCTCTGGGGGTCAAGGTGCGAAGGCTTGTCCCTGGTCTCCACGGAAGTTTTCTACTCCTGGAAAGTTTGAAGTCCGTTTGTTTGGATAGAAAACTGTCCAGGCGTGTTGTTGTTCACAATCACACACTCTCTGAGTCACTCGTAAAAACACTTCCACACACATACACGCTCTCCGTGTCGGACCCGTTATTGAGACTCCTCTCCTGCTCCGTCTCCTACACAGGCATCTTTGAAGCCAGTGTCGAGTTGCTCAGCAAATCATGGCAGCGGTAAGGCTGGTCGTCAAACCAGGAATGTCCCAGCCCCACTACTCAGCCTGCTCCTGGGGAGGGGGAGAAAGAGGGAGGGTAAAGAAAAAAGTGGGGAGTGTTTTGCCATTAGACACGTTTTCGCATATACAATTTTTACAATTTAACAGGGGACAAAGAAGAACTGCGTCCTTGTTGCTCCCTGCTTACCTGTGTGACGTAGAAGAGTTCACCTGAACACAAAGTTACATTTTCATTTGATTAAATTGCGGTGGAATAGATAAGAAATAAATGAATAAAATACTGAAATAAAACGTATTGTCTTGTGTGTTGAGTTAGCTTTTATGTCTTAGGAATAAAACTTCCTCAATTATTTATTCACTTAGAAAAACTGAGAAAAAGAAAGTTGAATTCCATGGTAAATGGACTGTGCAAATATGGACCAGTGCACTTAAAACTATGGCTTTTGCCAATTCACCAGGTGTAAGACAACTGCACTACCCACTGACCTACAGCCACAATAGCTCTATTTGGAGAAGAAAGAAAATCAGAAACTGAAACCTGCAGCACACTCCAGATTTAAGTTTATCACAAGTTCAAACCCTGTTGCAGTGTAGTTGAACTGTGATTTTTGTTTTGTTTTTTTCCAGATATTCAGACTTTCCCTTTTAGCATAATGCTACCAGATCCAATAGTCAAATCTTATATTAATTGTCTTGCATGTAATATCTACCCCCCTTCTTCTGGGGGCCACCACAGTGGGTGCAACACTTCTTTTTCATCTGGTTTTGGGCATGTGACTATGTGACTGACCACTTGTCTATATTCAGATCACCCAGAACATCTGGAGGATCAGAGTAAACAGCTGGCCAAGAACTATATGTTGTAAAGCTGGCTTGTTTGTGGTCCAGAAAAAGTTAATACATAAATATACACCATAATGAAATATTTGTAATCTTGTGTACTTTGTATCTTTAATTTATTATTTAATGAGGTACAAATCAAGGCCCACTAACCAAAGTACTGACAGCTCAAGTGAGAAGTGAAAATAAAACCATTAAATACAGCACAATCTGGAGTTAAACCCCAGTCAGGAAACCAGAAAGATACAGTATGACCCTTAAAATAAGCAGTTTGGAAATTGGAATGCAAAGCCTTTTTTAATCTAAACTCGTATGTAAACCTATGTCAGTTTGGAAATTGGAATGCAAAGCCTTGTTTAATCTAAACTCGTATGTAAACCTCTTGAGATTTCTGAAAATTTGCAAAAAGTTTTGATCTATCTTCATCTGGACTGAAAACATATTCATTTATCAGACCATAGATGACCCAAAGCAGCAGAATTATGCATTACAACAGTTATGACTGGGTGCTTTGATTGAATTAAGGTTTTCAGGGATGTGTGTGAACAGCTTAAATCTATGGGTTATTTCTGGCATTAAACTTGCTGCTTGGATGATCCCAATGATGGTTGGCTTCAGCCATGTCCTCATCACTAGGTAAAATGTCCTAATGTAGAGGGCGGGGGGCCGAGGGGAGGGAGCAGTGAGTGAAAACAGTCATCTGCTGTGCGTATGGGCATGAGTAAACAGTGTAATCATCTTTGAGGCAGTAATTAAATGCTCCAGCATTGGCTGGGTGGCAGTGGCGGCAGTGGTTGTGGTGGCGGGCCCACCCTGCTTCAGACAGCAGGTGCAGCTTACCATCTGACAGCTGACTAAAGGTGGAAGGTGTGATCCAAACCCCCAAGGCTGGGTAGGCCCGGTCAGGCAGTGAGGGCCAAAGCTAACAAACCCGCAAAAGTCTGACTCAGGAGCAGGAGTAGAAAGAAAAAAATAAGACGTGGAGGTGGTGGAGCAGAGGATGATGATGGAACCATGCCCCGACTCTCATTTTGCCAATCAGAGTTGGACTGTCACATTTCAGGTTTAAACTAGTTCTGAGTTTCTTCTCATATAAAGTGTCATTTTCTTATCTCTAAATGTGGATTTCTGGCCATTTTGTTTTCATGGAGGGTTCATTAAAGGTGGGGTTGGTGCACTTTCACTTGCTGTCAGGAGCTGGTGGTGGTTTTGGTGCCCTGCCAAGAGCTTCAGCCTTCACTGTACATATTATACATTATAATATAGCAGTAATTGGTGTCTTGTTTCTTGGTGCAAGCTGTGGTTACTTGGAACTCATAGTAGCTCTGTCATGTGACCAATATCGTTTGATTTTTTTTGTAAGCAAGTTGTGAAGAGCACTTTTTTTTTTTTACATGTGGCCCACAAAAAATATGCAATGTTAACACATGCTCAGGCTCAACCCATGTTGATAATGTAAACATTGGATATGCAGCTAAACATAAAGCACTTATTTCTCATAATATGCTTGATGGTTTAATACCATGGTTTAATATATGTAGTTTTATTGTGTCCTGATTGTAACAATTTAGAGTTTTTAGAGTTTTTTTTTTATCCATCAGGTTCCTTGATGTGGTTGCTGACGGAGAGAGAGGCTCCGAGTTCAGAGGAGGGTGAGCAGGGTGATTGGACACAGTCGCATGTGAAAGGCCAGAGAGCGGCGAGTCCACAGGGAGCAAGGTCTTCACACACACAAAGGGCCAAGGAGGCCATGCTGGGAACTAAAGCTGACAGCACAGACACTTCTTATCCACTGAGGGGTTGGCTGTCTCTGCCCCCCTGGGGTACACACTCACTTATCTGTGAGGAGCTGCCAGTTTTACACTGTTGATCTCCAGAGAGCAGCAGTTGCTCTGATGTGGCTGCAGAAAAAGTAAGTACACAAAGCAGCAAGTGAACTCTGGCCCACATATCACTGACACGAGGCTGTTTTCTCAGTCTTATCAGCCCTAGACAATTATCAATAGTTTACGAGGCATTTAACGTAGACACGATTACTTCCTGATGAAGAAACAGATCCAAAAAAAACACCTGACTGTTTACTTTGAAAGCATTCAAATTTCAACTGTACAACTGTTCAACTGGACAAAACTGTTGATGAAGGATGATAAAAATGATTTAACTCACTGATGTTTATTACAGGTCACACTCTTGTTCAGTTTTTCTCTTTGGGCAATCATTACCCACTGTCCTTGGGAGGACACCATCTTCTTACATGTACAGCATGTTACCAATCCCTCGAAAAGAATTATTTTGGTTCAAGACCAAGAGACTCGGAAAAAGCTTTCACCCAAAACCAGTGGCTCCCACCACACCACACCCTTGTCTGTAAATATGACACAGAAAAAGGAAACTCTGTTTTACAGTTGTTGCACAGTCACTACTCTGTGTTTTATCCCAGTCTGATCTTTCTTCTTTGAGAAAATTTAACATCCAGTTGCCTTCAACCTTATATGTATTTTAATTTTTTTTTAAATATTTACTTTGTCCCATGATTATCTGTTCTTTTTTTCATTTTTAGTTAGTTTGTTTTTCTTTTTTTGTAATTTTTCAGAATGTAAAAACATGCAAATAGAGGTTTGAACTTTCTAAATTGCCAAAACATTGCACACTTGAAAATACTGAGGTCAGCTACAATGGTTAGTTTGCACACCAGGTCATTATGGCAATATATGTCTCTATTCTATTCTATTCTATTTTGAACCCTGTTTTGTGAATTGCGTTTGTAAACAAAGATAGTCTGGAGTAAGCAGACTGAACTTGCTGTGAGGATAATAAGCCTCCGACCACTGTCACCAGAGTGTTTATGATGTGTAAAGCGCCTCAGTGCTCTGTTGACTCTGCCAGCAGGGGCCTGAGCAACACCTGACTGCAGGGCTATTAAAAGGCACTTTCAGATAAGAGTACCATCCTTTCTGTTAGAGCCTGACAGTGCGTGTGTATACGTGTGTATGTGGGTGTGTAGTCAGCAGGACGAAATAGCCCTTCATTCTTAGATACCACAACCCTATTTGCATATTTGATCCCAAGGCAGATGTTCGCAAAATGTTGCTGTCTGTGAAAAGAAAATGGATGTATATGTGTTTTTGGGGTTGCTGAGGAATTATAAAACAGATGGAACATTAACTTTTTCTTAGTATGTTTAAGTTTTTATAAGTTTTTACAATACAAGGAAAGTTTGTTCAGGCGTAGAAAAATATACGAGAGTGAGAAGAAACACAGTTTTACAACATCGACTAAATGGATTTTCCCTCAGTGGGTTATATATCTTATGACTTGGACAGGTGTATACAGTGTGTGTGTATATGTCAAGTCTTTGTGTAGGTTGGGGTATGTGGCTGCGGTTGTGTAGGAGAGAGAAAGTCAAAGGCACACTCTCCATCTGGTTTCTGCATCACTGTGGTGGGATCACATTATCCCCGTAGGCTCTCTGGGAATTTCTTCAGTCTGTAACATCTCACTTATTCACACATCTCTCTGGACTTTACCATGTACGACAGTCCTGAACGTCCCCCCTGACACTGCACTGACCCTGGAAACTGCTACAACACTAGTTTGTACGGCTGGGAAAAGTCAAAAGGAGCATCCACCTGTTCTCAGCCGATGGTGCCCCCATATTAGGGTTGTTTTAGCTATACAGGCACAAAATAGTTTGAACAGGACAAAATTGTGTGGGCTATTCCTAATGACCAGTGACCAGTATTCCACATATAGTGGATTGTTGCTGCGCAAC